TTCGACAATCTATATTTTCGACAGTCTAAATTATTTTTGACAGACTAAAATATTTATGATTTAGACTGTCAAAATTAATTTTGACTATTTAATTTACGCCATGAGAAAAATAATTTAGACACCCATGTATAGCAACCATGTGGCAAATGGTAATTAATTGCAATTAATTTCGTCATTAATTAGGTTTTAATTAATTTTATGATAATTTTAATTGATTTTAATTGTATGACATATAAAAACAATAGTTTTAATTGATTTTTCGGTAGGCCTGGATAAAATAAACGCTAAGACGAACTAATTGAACCATAAATTGAATGACAATTAATGTTGAGGATAGGATAGGGTCTGCGTAATGATGACAATTAGTGTTTTTATATTTAGATTTATTGGGAAATAATTTAACAGGTAGGATTTCGAATATTCGTAAAGAAGCGGCATATATCCCTAAGACTTAAAGTATATTCTGCGAACATTCTAAAGATATTCAAATTGTTACTAATTAATGAATATTTTAAAAAAATACGTAACTTTGTACTGTAGTTCTAGATAAGATCTATCAAGCTACTGATTTTTTTTTTTTTTTTTTATTAAAAAAACATGCTTCTTTTTTTTTTTTTTTGTATTGAATATTCTTAACAAATTTCGTATTATCTAAAACTACGATCAACAAGTTACTTTGAATTACATAAAAATTCTATAATTGAATTAGATTTCAATTTAATGTTTTTACTCTATTTATTATTTATTAAGCATTTGATGTGACTACGTACGTACGTAGTGTGTTTGCACCATAGTAACCCTTGTAAATTTTTTAGTAATGTGGAAAGTAGTATAGCCGGAACTATAAAAGAAGTAACGTAGCGCAGTATAACAAAAATGAAATAACTTTTAATATGTATATGCGTATAAAAAAACAAAAATCAGCCCATATGTAAGGGTCGGCTAAAGCGGAGTTAATTCAATCTATGATCTACATACGTATCATATTGCATAAATCGTATTATTGATACTATATATAAATAATAACCTAAATACATCAAAAAAGTAATTCTAACCCTAACTCCGCTTTAGCCTTTGACAATCACTACCATTTATAGCGTAGAGCAACGTGGTACTGGGTTTAATAATAAAGGTAAATAACGTATAGCCTATTTATAGTCAGGTCGATGGTGGATAATCAAAAGTGGTGATAATATTGAACCTAGCTGCCGCACAAAAATGCGCGGATGATCCTCGATTTTGATTGGCTAAGAGCGACGATCAAAAATT